GAGCACTGATAGGTCGACACCTCCTCCAAACTCTTCCCTCACTCTCTTCTCACTATTATTTATAAGACTAGATCCTATGGAGGACTAATCTTCTCTTGATAGTTGGCTCTGATCCTCATGATATGAATTAGGGTTTTAGGATGGCTCCAAGGACAGGGTCTAGGCATCCTTATATAGGCCGAGGTGGACTAGGGGGCAAGGAATCGAGGTGGAGTAGGGGGCAAGGAATCGCCATGTCATCGATCCACGTCAACTCCCCCGACCTCCGTTGGATAAACCGACCTAAAACCGTCTTAGAATCAATGGTGTAGATCGTAGGAAGGAGTACGAGGCGGCGAAGGGTGAGCAGGCTCCGTGGCAGGCCAGCCAGCCTATGGGCTGGGCCGGCTGACCGACCCACTTTCATGACCGTTTGGCCCAAGCTTTGGCGTGGTGTCTTCTGGAACCTTCTAGAGTTGTCTTTCGTAGTTTTTGTGGGTTGAATCACTTGTTGTCGTCGGTTTACCTATTTGTAGTGTATGACAGTAGTCCTAGGAGCTATTTTTGTATAAATCCGCTTATAGTCACATTCACCAAAGCTCATGGAACTCATTAGTTTAAACCCCTATACCTATGTTTGGTGATAGAATTAAGTATATATGTAGGTTATGTTGAAAGTTAATAATTGGTGTTAGTGGTCGTCAACAAGCTCCCCCAAGCTTAACCTTTGCTAGTCCCTGAGCAAAGTGAAACTCAGCAATGGATCAAGAGTTGCTATAATGCTTTCACACCTCAAAAGTACACAAGCGTTCAATAAAAAATTCTCCTCCAGATTAGAACAAACTGATCTGACTTTTAAACTTACCCATATTACCTTCAACCATGGGGCTTCTTAGCCTTCACTTGGGTCTTGAGCAATTGAAAGATAGAATGATCAAGTCAACCACTATATCTCAATTTCTTTGTTCAACTATTGTTCTAGAGTTTTTATAAGTTTTCAAAATAAAACTCAGAGATTCCATTGTATGACACTCTCAAGTCTCTCAATATATGTGGCATTTATGGATTCTCACCAAGGCAATAAAGATGTTATGCCTTTTTCTCTTCCTACAACTAAGGCTTATGTGGAGTTCAGAGGTAGGGAGAAAGCTAGAGCATACATGTTTAATGTATATATTGTAAAGTCAAACAACGGATCCAAAGAGAGTTGAGTCATATAATCAAATCAAGATGTACATGTGTGTTGATATATGGTGGATATATATGGTGGCTAACCTAATTCTACTATGCTCCTTGAAAACATATCTTTTCATAAGACTTGGAAACATTTTTGTGAGAGAGTAGGGGCTACCTTATTCATCTCTTTTAGGCGGGCATCTGAGTACCCATTATTTTAAATATCACGGACACTTGTCTATTTTTTCAACTCTTTTTTTCTTCTACTTTTTTTATGAATAACTTTTGCATAGCCCCATGTCTCTTTTCTACAACAAAACCTTGAGAGATAGCAACAAGAACTTGGAGCATTTACTTGGTGGATAAAAAACCTATCAAGCATGTTTTGTGTTCACTCCTAGTGTAAGAGTAGAACATTTTTGGGTGGATATAGATGAAAGCATGTTTTTGCACCAACCACCAGTGGAGTAGCGCATATTTGGGTGGTGTGTACGTGATCTTGATTTTGAGAGCATGATAAACCTCTCATAAGGGTCAACAAAGCTTGACAAAACTCAATGCAAAAGCAAGCAACATATATGTGGAAGTTTTCCTGACCTAAATAACATGTATGGCTCTGGTGGAAATTCAAGCTTTGTCATACATAAACTCATCATGTAGCATTTTTGTGTTTTTCAAAAGATAAATCTCTAGAACTTTAGTGTCACTTGGAACAAGATAAATAGTAGCTCAGACCTTCTCATATCATATCCATCAATTACCTAGACATAGATCAAGCATTTGCTACCCACAAGTTTCAAGTTCAGAGTAAATCCTTATATCAAAACAATCTTATCCAAAAATTGGGAGAATTCAAGACTGAAAACTAGGTACTTGAAAGGAATTACAATAGAGCAACTATTCATCATTTCCATTTAAGAGATTATTCTAAGTCCTCTTTACTTGCTAACAACTCTTAAAAACAAATTAAAGCAAACTAGACACCTTTTATTTTGTTTTCAATTTTACTAGATCACACATTATTATTATAACTATATATATTTTGTTTTTAGTTATTCATCTTTTTTTACTATTTAAAAGAAATTAAAATTAAAACAAAAGGGAAAGTAATACTTATCTGGATACACAGGGGTGCTTCTCCCCCAAGCTAGCTGTTTTGGTGAGCTCCTTGTGAAGTTCATTGATCAAGTTCCTCGGTTTGCTCTAAAGATGAGGATCATTGTGATGACACCTCTAATGGTGATGTCACGTTCCACCAAACCCGCCTTGGTTGTTAGTTTTGATTTTGGGTAGACAGGTTCAGCGCCTCTACTTGTAGAAATTGGAGAATCAATGACTCTCCCACACTTTGCTTGAAGTGTGTTCTACTCATAAAGACAAGGTAGAGATCAAGTGCATTGGCTCTGTTGGTGGGAAAACACCAACAGAACCAAAACTTTCCTTATTCTTCTCTAACCTTAGACACATTGAACAAAATGAAGTTGATGTTATGTGCTGTGTTCATTTATATCATGGGTGAAAGGATTAGAAGATTGTGCATGAATGTAGCATTTAAGTACATTTGGTTAAAAGGGTTGAATTTCTTAACATATGGAAGGATTGTCTATCTGTGCATAATGTATCACTCTTTACATGATTATGACTATCATCTTCCAAAGATAATATGTGCACTTTTTAACTTATTTGGTTAAGACTATGAGCTCAAGAAAGTGGTGCTAAGAACAAGTTTAAAAAACTAAACATGTTGAGTTAATCTGATTGGATTAAGTGAATTTGTAACTTCAAACATGTTTCTTTCTTATTTATATTATGTGCGTACCAGAATTAGGGAAATACTTTTTAAATGATGACCATTTACCTTAGGATGTTACCTTTGTCATTAGAGCATGATGACACCATGTAACGAAGGGTAGATGACTCATGATGGTCCTTCCTATTTGCTTGAAGTTTTCGTTGTTTGGCTAGCCTCGCAGTATGAGTTGTTCATGAGCTTCTTGTCACCTAGATTGCACCCTTTCTTTTTATCCTTTTGTCATGCTATCTTTCTGCTCTTCGATCTTTTGACACCTTGTTAGACCTTCTACCTCACTCATTGTTTTATGCCTACAAAGGATTAGTGGACAACACATACCAGAAGGAAAATACAATTTTGAAATATGGGTTGTTTGTCCAGAATTTTGTAATTTCCCTCTATGCTAATGAAAATATAGTGTTAGAATTATTTTAGCATAGTTTTTGTTTATCATGTTCTATACAAGCATGGCTTTAAGGCAAAGGTAACTTGCAGCTAAAGACAAAGTTAATGATCTTTGATACTTATAGTTCTTTCATCCATGATGAATGAGTTGTGTCTTCTTTGCGCCATGTTATTAGAGTTCAACATGTGCCTTGCTTCATCTCCGATTTGAATTCATCTCGTGACTTATCCAAATTGAATTGAGAATTTCTTGCAGGGGTTAGTCCAACAAAATATCCAGTATCTGCTAAAGCAATTTTTAGTTCAATAACCAAACTAGACTCCATGTCTAAATTGGATTAAGGAAGGCATTTTAACCTAAGCACCTCGCTTAATTTAAAAAACCTTTGGAAGTATGTTGAGTACTTGCAAACCAAAACTTACTATGGCAGACAAAGGTAACATGAAAGCACAATAGAGATTTACTCAAACGAAGATGAAAGAACACGATTGTTATTTAGCAAATTGAGCATGTCTTAAAGGTAGAGACAACCAAAATAATTTAGCAACATGGCAAGAGATGTTTTTAGAGAAGTCTATCCCCTGGCTTGAATTTTGCAAAAAAAATCAAGTTTGGATAGATGTGATTCAATGTTGCATGATGATTGGTTGGACATACCTGGCATTGTCATCCCTCATTCTTTTTGGAGTAAATTGCACGGCCGGTCCTTAAAGTATTGGTCCAATTTTATCTGGGTCCCCAAACTACGAAATCGTACTTTTGGCTCCCTAATGTATTTAAGTGATCTCATCTAGGTCCAAAATAGACATGAGGAGGGTTAAAAGCTGATTAGGTTGTCCACGTGGACATGATTTAACCCAGTCACTGCCACCGTCGGTCAACAAACCATCTAGACCGTGGATTTTGGATCGGGCGGGGTTATAAAGAGTCACCCTCCCCTGTAGCTACGCAGGGGTGCTCTCTGGTGGCGTCCTCATTGGAGTCAAGGCGGGACGGAGCTCCGACGGATGAATGATCTCTAGCGAGCGGTGGAGCAGGAAGAGGAGGCCACGACAAAGTTGTCTGCCATGTTGTCGATGGCGGGGAGGCAGCGGTGAAGGAAACCGAGGCAGTGGGATGGACGGTGGCAGTCTCACAGGCGGGCCATAGCCGTGCTCATCATCGCCATGGACGGCGGCGGCTACAACCCACGATTCCAGCGCCAGGCCTCCTGCTCCTGCGCCCCCTCCATCTCGCGGTGGGGGTTCGTCCTCGCGGGCTTCGACCTTGATGGCGACGACTACTACTATGATGATGTCGTCACCTTCCACTCCTCGTCATCCTCCTCCTCCTCCAAGGTCAGCGGTCCGAGGGCGCCCTACTACTCCATGGGGTCCCCGCGGCCGTCCGTGCACGCGTGAGGCTGAGGGCATTGTGGCGCCGCATCATGCGGGTGAAGAAGTGGATCCTGCTCTGCTCCACCGGCTGCATGCCCAACATCATGACGCTGATGTCCAAGGGCGGGTGCAAGGCATTCGTGTCGCTGGTGTCCAAGTCCCCCGACGCGCTCTCCGTGTTCCAGTTGGCGGTGGGCGGCGGCGCCAGCAGCTAGATGCCTAGTGTGTCGGCCGCTCACACCGGCACCAGCTCCATGTAGCCCTGCCACTGCTACGGCGATGTGCCCCAGTATGCGGCGATGCCGATGGACGACACGATGATGAGCAGCAGCAGCGTCGTGAACCACAGCGCGTGCGTCTGGGTCATCACGCCCCGCACGTAGTACCACTGGACAAGCAGCGCTGTGGCCATCATCATGAAGATGAGGACCGTGCTGACGAAGAGTAGGCTGGAGAGGATGTCAAGGCTAGAGAAGAGGGCGATGTAGGCGCTACAGACGGCGATGAGCGCGGTGGCATGCATAGGGGTGCCGGTCCTCGGGTGCACCAGCGCGAACACGGGTGGGATGATGTGGCTCCACACGATGTGGGTAGTGTAGCACGCCTGCCCTAGTGCGCCCACCAACAGCACTATGGTCATCCCCTTGAGCGCGCCCAGCACCACCACGTACTGCGCCCATTGCATCCCCACGCTAGCGAATGCCACTGAGTAGGTGGCGCTGCGGTCGATGGCCGTGTACGGCTGCCTCATGCTCAGCACTAGCGCCATGATGCAATAGATGGCTGTGATGATGGACATGGAGCCCGCAGGCCCAGCAGGATGTCCCGCGTTGGGTTCTTGGTCTCCTCCGCCATGGTCGTGATGTTGTCGAAGTCACCGTACGCGAAGTAGACGATCGCCGCCGCCCGGAACACGCCCTACACGCCGTGCGGCATGAAGGGCCGGAGGTTGGCCAGGTTGGCGTGGATGAACCCGGCCACGATGACGAATGTGATGATGACCACATGCACGGCGGACGCGACCTAGTTCATGCAGGAGGTACCCTTGGTAGTGAGCATTGACGGCGATGACGACCACCGCAATGGGGTCTAGCTCGTCGTACCCCTTGGCGAGCCTCGACACGTGGATCCACAGCATGCTGGCGGGCTTGTTGATGAGCGACGCGAGGTAGGATGTCCAGGACCGCGCCACGGCCACCATGCCGATGACGCTCTCGAGGATGAGGTTGGCAGTGGCAATGAATGCCACAGCGTCGTTGAGCTCGACGCGGAGGTAGGCGAAGGAGTCATCGGCCATCGGGATCTCAACGACGAACTCTGTGTAGCAGAAGACGGAGAGCTTGGCGGAGAGGCCTGAGGCGATGTAGGAGAGCACGATGGTAGGGCCCACATGGTCGTGCACCTCCTGCCCCATGAGAACAAAGACGCCGGTGCCGATGATGGAGCTGAAGCCAAACTAGGTGACATCCCACCACGTGAGGCACCATTGCATCTCGTGCTCGCTCCGGCGGTGCAGCGCACCCAGCTCCGCGGCGTTGATGGACCACCCCGCGAGGCAGTCCCAAAGGCGAGTGAGGGTCTCGCCCAATGCCTGACAGTACGTGCCCCAGCTCGTGAATGATGGCTCTAGGAAGAAGTCGTCCCTGTGCCATCACCAGTAGCTCCTCGCTGGTACCGTCGCCGCGGCCTTACCTACGCCCTTGTCGGACTCCGCCAATGCGGACATCTCTGCGAGCGCCATGTACCCATGGCTGCTACGAGGACACTTAGGGCCCGAGGCCGGTGCCCATGGCCATGCCCAAGTCGATGCCGAGGCCCAGCGATGGCGCGCCGCCCACGGCCGTGCAAGAGATAGCCGGCTTCGTGATGAGCATAGGCATGGGGCGCGGCTTGCGGGAGCCGCCATTGATGGGGACATTGCATGTCTCATGGGTTTTCTGTTCAAATCATGTCCACTTCAACTTCTAATCCCCCTCGTGTCTATTTTGGACCTGGATGAGATCACTTAAATACATTAGGTAGCCAAACGTGCGATTTCATAGTTTGGGGACCCAAATGAAAACCGTTGAATACTTTAAGGACCGACCATGCAATTTACTCTTATTTTTGCTTCAAACCTAGAATGGTTAGTGACAAAAATACACAAAGGAATATTTTCACAAATATATTTCTATGCTCATTTCATGAGGGTATCATAGCAAAAAGGTGAAAGTTCATGTTATCTCCCAAAAGTGCTTGTTTTAGGATAGAAGCTCGTCCTTGGGAAACCTTCGAATTGTGTTTCAAGTTGGTGAAGTGGTTTCCCCTCCAACACCAACCTCTAGGTACCTATCTCAAGATTCATACAATGAGATCTATAATATTTATGGTAAACACATGCATCTACAACCACCCTTTCAAAGTTTTTATGAATATGAAGTACGAGGGGTTGAAGATCTCATGTGTGGTAATGTCAGAGAGACCAATTGATTTAGGAGATTTCTCATCTGAGCATGGATTTGATGAGGTGCTCATGAAATAACATTCATGCTCGTCTATGTCATCTTCTTTTTCAAGCTCCAAAGGTGTTTCTTCATGAATGTCTATAGGTGGAAACATTGTCTCCATCATTCCATGCCTATGACATTCATTGGTCCTTTTGTTGTCCAAGATTTCCCTTGGATTGGTGACTCTCGGGTTGATCTTATCTAAAGCCTCGTCCATCCATTCATTGGCAACGACACATAAGTTCTTAATATCCTCCAGCCATTGTTGTTGCTCTACTTGGTCTTCCTTGTGGCCTTCATGACTCCTATGCTTTGGGTGTCTTAGTGGATTTCTAGGGTCATCATGAGTCTTAGAAGAAAGAGTGTAAGATGGATCATCGGGGTCAAAGATGGGTTTAGAGATATGTTTAGATGAGACATCTAATATGGGCATGGAAGGAGAGAGAATAGGATTGGCTTCTAGATAGCTTGGCTCTCCTTCTATGGTTTCCCTAGACATGCGACCCTTGTGTTCTTCCCAATGTCCTATATGGGAATAACGATGCTTTCTAAGGGATTCCTTCTTGAGAGAATTTGAATTATATTCGCTCGAAGGTCTCTTGTGGAACTGAAAGTTTAAGCTTTTCCCAAAATCATCAAAAAGATCATTCTGACAAGAAATTTCAAAAGGTTGAATTTCTTCTTCCTTTGGAGGGTTCGGATTTTGAGGTATAGATGGTTTGGGATTGATAGCTAAACCTTGGGATTGAAGTGGTTGTGATTTGGCTATCAAAACATCCTTTCTTGTTCGGGAGAAGATTCCTTCTCTTCCTCAAGGAGTTTATTATGATTGCTAGTGCATGGAGTTTTTTCCACTAATCTTATCAAGTATAGACCTTACTTCACTAGCAGATAGATGAAGGAAAGGTCCTCTAGAGGCTGCACAAGGGATTCAATAGAATCCTTACTAAGACCCATGTAAAAATGTTGAAGGAGCATTGGGTCTGGAATAGCAAGGTCCAGGCCAGTGATGATGAGGTCATTAAAACGATCCCATGATGTGCTAAGAGATTCTTCTTCTAGTTGTCTAAAATTTAGAACCTCTTTTCGAAGGCTTACTACCTTAGAGATGGGAAAGAAACATAAACAAAATTTAGAGCATAATGTTTGCCAATCTCCTTTCATAATTCCTATGGTTTGACTGTACCATTGTTTAGGTCTTCCCATCAAAGAGAACGGTAACAACTTCCATATTAATGTTTTGTCAGACATGCCAGCGATACACAAGCATGCACAGGTCTATTCAAACTCTTGTAGGTGTGAGTATGGGCTTTTGTTGCCTTCTCACGAGAAGGATTGATCCTGAATTAGTTTTATAAAACACGGGCACAACTCATAGCCTGGTGTTAGGATAGGCTCTGAAGATTTGGGTGGCTTTAGGCTTGCGCTCATGGGTTTATCATATTGATATATAGGTGTGTCATCGATGCTAAAAGAAAAAGTAAAATTAAAGAAAGAATAAAAGATAAAAGGTTAAGCTAAGCTCAAAGTTAATTCAGCAACTGTTTCCCCGACAACGACGCCAGAAAGCTTGTTAGTAAATTTAACGCACACAGAAAATTCGCAAGCGCACGAATACCGCTGTAGCTTTCACCCAGAGGTATTCCAAGTATCGTATCCATAGGGAAACATGTGAGACTAACTACAGTCTAACTTAACTAAGGGTAGCAACAAGGTTAGGATAAATAGGAGCGTAGAGAGGATAACTAAAGTTCTCTAGTTCTAACTTAGGTAAGCTTATGTCTTCTACTATTCAACTGGGGACATTACTAGGGAAAGACACCAGAAGAGGATGCTTTCCTTCGCAACCGCGTCCTACGTGTGCCTATAGATGGGAGGTGGACTACAAAGGATCAACGAAGCTATATAGTATAGGCTATATAGAACTTATGTCACTCACATGATCTACCACCTTTCGAAATGCAGGGTGCATCCACGATTAACCTAAGTCCAAGCACCACACTTACACTTACGATTAATACTCTACTCCCCCTAGGAAGAGAATAAAGCACTCAAAAGAGAGACGTGACCTGAAGAACAATATAAACAAGATGCTTACTTGAATCAGATGTTGATTACCAGAGAAATCTCAGACACAAGCTTAGATAGAACTTGAATCCGCCAAGGTACAAGCCGTAGAGAGAGGACCGACAGGCCGACACCTCCAAACTCTTTCCTCACTCTCTATCTCACTATTATTTATAAGACTAGATCCTATGGAGGACTAATCTTCTCTTGATAGCTAGCTCTGATCCTCATGATATGAATTAGGATTTTAGGATGGCTCCAGGGAGGAGAGTCTAGGCATCCATATATAGGCTAAGGTGGAGTAGGGGACAAGGAATCAAGGTGGAGTAGGGGGCAAGGAATCACCACATCATCGATCCACCTCAACTCCCTCGACCACTGTGGGATAAACCGACTTGAAACCATCTTAGAATCAACCATGTAGATCATAGGAAGGAGTATGAGGCAGCGGAGGGCGAGCATGCTCTATGGTAGGTCGGTCGGCCTATGGGATGGGCTGGCCGGCCAATGGGCTAGGCCGATCGTCCCACTTTCATGACCGTTTGGCCCAAGCTTGTTTGGAGTGTATGACAGTGGTCCCAGGAGCTATTTTCTAGGTAAATCCTCCTGCAGTCACATATTCACTAAAGCTCATGGAATTCAATAGTTTAAACCCCTATACCTATGTTTGCTGATGGAATTAAGTATATATGCAGGTTATGTTGATTATTTATAATTGGTGTTAGTGACCGTCAACAATGGAGAAGTAAACCATAACCAATATTCTACTCATAACAGGGGTAAGTCATAGGATAAGATATATATATGATGAGTATTGATTAATGATAATGATAAATCTCTTAAAGTACTCCTTTCTATGGCATTATCATGGTCAGGTAGAATATTAGGGGAATAATTCCTAAGTTATTCTTAATTACAAGTCAAAGCATACATTGATTAGTGCAATTATACCTAGTAATCAATTGCTAAGATCATTGTCATATCTACACATAAGGGATATTACTAAGGAAGATTTAGAACAAAGCTTGTCTTCCTTCGTAACTCGCATCCTATGTGCACCTACATTCGGGGAGTGGACTACAAAGGACTCAATGGGGGTGTCATGTCTGCGATCTACCACATGACCTAGAATATAGGGTGTATCCATAGGTAAACAACGTATAAGCACCACGCTTACACAATGTCGACCACCGACCCATGGATTCTTACAGTGAGCGCTATATAAACTTATGCATGAACATGATGATAATCCAACTATACTAAGCATATAATCAAAGTAGGCGATGAACATTATAATGAAGAACATAAATGAGATAATATTAATATTTTCATAACAATTGTAGCAAGCATATAAAAGTAATGGAGATACAAAAGAGGGGGTACAAATATTATACCAAACCACACTCTTGACACGATCAGGAATCCAAGTGAAGCTTGCTTGCCTCCCTCTAGACCTAGCCTAACTAGCTATGCCCTAGAATTGATGGAGCTCTGAGGATGATTAGGGTTTTTGTCTTCTCAAAATGACTTATCTCATGACTCAGGGGGGTGGCAGGGGTGGGTATATATAGGCCAGAGCGGCCAATGTGAGCCCTTGGATCAAACCGACTTAATGGACAGCGTAGATGCAACCTAGGAGGCGGTGGAGAACCAACTTTATGACTCGAAGGCTGATAGGTGTGCCCAAGGGCTAGGCGGCCTATAGGCCAGCCCCACCTGCAGCCACTCAGGCTCTGCCTCGGTGTGGAGTCCTCTTGAGTCCTCTAGAGTCTTCTGGTGTCTGTTTCATTGTGGATAAGCGCGATTAAATCTGACATATTGGTCCACCTTGACGGTTTTCTAGATAAACCGTGTAGAAAATACAGATTCACCAAAGCTCATGGAATTTGTTAGTTTAAACCTCTAGACCTTCGTTGGTGATTATATTTATGCCCGTATGCATGTTATATTGGTGGTTTATAATGGTTGTTAACTACCATCAACAAGCTCCCCAAGCTTAACCTTTGCTAGTCCCTTAACAAACCTAAACTTAGCAAATGGATCAGCAATTTAAGGATTTTGAAAATATTGATGCAACTCCTTAAAAGTACACATGCGTTCAAACAAGAATTCTCCTCTGGATTTGAATAAAACGATCTGATTTTCAAACTCATCCTTATTACCTTCAACTATGGGGCTTTTTAACCTTCACTTGGGTCTTGAGCAATTGAAAGACAGAATGATCCAGTCAAGCACTATGTCTCAAGTTCTTTGTTCAACCATTGTTCCAGAGTTTTTTATAGATTTTTAAAATAAAACTTAGAGCTTCCTTTATATGACACTCTCAAGTCTCTCAATATATGTGGTATTTGTG